TCGTCATCGTCTTCATCTTCATCACGTCCTCATCAATCATCTATCGTCGTTATCATCATCCTCATAATCTTCATCCTCTCTTCATCCTTCATCATTTTCTTCATCATCATACTCCTCATCATATTCATCCTCATCCATCATCATCCTCGTCATCGTCAATGGTGTAGCCAGCTATTGGCACAGTTGGGAAAGTCCCACACCATTTTTCTAATGGGTCCACATTTTAAAAATTGGTCCAAATTATGTAATTTTATGCATAAAATGGATCCAGATTTCTCATATTTAGCTAAAAATGGGTAAAATTTAAGAATATGGGTCCAGATATTTCATATTTTTGCGTAAAATGGTTTAAATTTGGGTCCACCCTGATATTGTCCCACACCGTTTGAAAATCCTGGCTATGGCATTGATCCTCATCCATCATTGTAACCCTCATCACCATTCTCAACAATCATCGTTATCATCATCACCATCACCACAACCTACTAATCATCCTCATCCATCACCATCCTTATCCTCATCATCATCAACCTCATCCTTATCCTCCTTATCATCATCACTCATTCATCATTCACCATCATAGTCCTCATTATCATCATCATCCATCATCATCCTTGTCCTCATCATCATCAACCACATCATCATCCTTATTAATCATCATTATCAATTATCATCCTCATCATGAGAATGATGATGAAGGGGAGAACGACAAGAATGAAAATGAGAATGAGGGGCAGAGGGGATGTTTCTCATTCTTCATCATTAACCTCATCAACATCATTCTTATCAATTATCCTCATCATTATCACGATCATCCTCATCAATCATAATCATCATCATCCTTATCTTCATAATCATCAAACTCATCATCCTAATTCTTATTATCAACATTATCCTCACCATCCTTATCAGCATCATTTTCTTCCTCATCATCATCATCCATCATCAATCATCATCTACCTCATCATCTTCCTTCTCCTCATCAACTGTATCATCCTCATCCTCCTCCTCATCATTCTTATCTTCATCACCATAATCATAATCATCATTACCATCACTCTCATTATTATCGTCATCCTCATCATCTTCCTGATTACTCTCATCATCATCAACATTACCATCATCATTATCCTCTTCATCATCAGTCACCATCATCATCACGAGGATGATGATGAGAAGGAGGATGACGAGAATGAAGATGAGGATGAGAGGGATGATTCTCATCATTCATCATCATCATCATCATCATTCTCATCAATCATTTTCTATCATTCTCATCACCATCATCACAATCATTATCATCAACAACCATTATTCCTCACCATCATTCTAATCATCTTTCTTCTCCTCCTCATGATCAATATCCTCCTTATAATGGGGATTATAATGAGGATGACAATGAGGAAGATGATGATGATGATAATAATAATGACATCAGTATAGTAAGAATAACAGTACAAACGCTAATATTAATGTGAATTATAAACTATAATTTTTTTTGAAACGCATATGAATAATTATATAGAGTACTATATTAATAATATTATAAAGTAACAACATAATAGTATAATAATGATGATGAAGAAAAATGTAGTGTAGAAAGATTAAATTTAAATAGGTAAACATTTCCTTTAATTTTGATTGTAGTAGTCTTGGAATTTGGTGTGTTGACGTCACCATTCCAAATTTGCTTGGGAGGTGGGGAATTCCATCAGACAGGCATGGACCCCCATTGTCCGATGCCACGACGAGGTTGCCACACCACAAATAATGATTTGCTTATCCATAAAACATTAACAAAACTCTCCCATAAGCCCAGAGATTTTTATTCCGGGACTCTGACTGAGGGTCTAGTCGGCTCTGTGTTTGGACCCACCCTATCAGACGCTCCTGGGGCCACCAGTGAACGACTATAATGGGTAAGTATTTAACTAAGGTCCTGTCAGTTTTTACAGTTATAGAAAAAAACCCCTAAAAGTGACTAAAAACATAAACATGTTTCCCATACCCCGATCCAAAAATTGGTATTTTAAAGCAAAATTTTACTATTTCATTTTTTCGTTGGGTAGTAGTTCATCAATTATATATATATAATTATATGTTTTATTTTATTCCTGTATGTATAATATTGTATTGAGATTGTATTGTACTTTGATAACAATAAAATTATTTTTACATTAAAAACATAGTTTTCCCACAATAATGGACGCCATCTTGGAATTTATCATGATGACGTCATCATTCCGATCAAATTTTTTAATGAGAGTGATGAGTAACTATATAGCCAAGTTTTTGATACATTTCATATCCACAGCATATGTAAAAGTGACCAAAAACATAGTTATTTCCCCTACCCCCCATTTTAAATAATTTAAAATAGGGTATTTTAGGCCAAAATTTCAAAATGCTGTAAAAAAAATTGCCCAAGCCCTTGGCATGGGGATTTTTTTTCTGAGACACTATAGGGTTAGTTGATTCAGAAAAACCAAAAATTAATTTTCCTTTACTTTTTTCCCGCTAAAATTCATTTTAGCAGTTTTACAACTAATATAATAATAATAATTTTACAGCTAATATAATTCAATATACAGTACCGTATAGCTAATATAGTAGTCGGTAGCCTATATAGTGTGCGCGAAGGGAGTCACCCTCCAACCCCCATTTTAAAAATGTTTGAATAAAAAACAGTCACACTCAGCATTTCGTAACACTTTACTTACCCATCCAACCTCATATTCGCACCCCCCCACCCCCTTCCAAGACTCCTTGATACACCACTGTTCCCACATCAGAATAAATTGTTAAATCAAGACAATATATTTTGCAGCTGTTTTTGTTTGTGTGCCTTTAGCCACGTAGAATGTGACGTCACGAATGTGAAGCGGTCATTACGTGGAAATCGCGTCCGAAATGATGACGTCATTAGCAAACTCTGCCAACCGAGTCCAATCACGTTTTGGAATCTTGCCCAATTGATGGGTCTCTTGCGATGACGAAAGAATAGAATAGATTCTGAATACGTGACGATGGCTTAACCTTGCTTAAACTAGCCTAGTCTTGGAATCTTGCCCAAATGATGACGTCATCGGAATTATACCTAACATTATACAGTACCACATTCCTTATTGTACTTCTCGTTTACCAAGCCCCTAAACTTTTACTTGGTAATAATGATACGTATAAATATTATAGAAATAGGAAGGATATAAGTGCAACGTTCGATAAAATATGCAAGTCTTACCAAGGACTTATAACTGTTACAGTTACAAGTCCTTGGTTTTACCTAAAAAGAGCTTGGCCTAGAAAATTACAATCATGAATGCAGTATAATGTTAGGTATAATTTAAACAATGTGTAACCAACGACCGATAGTTCAAATTTTAACTGCCAGATGTTTTAAAATTTTAAAATGTTTTAAACTCGTCCGAATTACGGTTACGGTAAATTGTTTTATACTTAATTTTACTACTTATTTTTTATTTTATTTTAATTTACTTCAATTGCATCCAACAGCGGAAACGCCCATTACAGGATGTCTTAAGAATACAATATATAAAAATATAGTAAAATACAAAACAAACAATAACAATCAAAGGTAAAAAATCGACAGTCATGCATCGGCGGCTTTACGCCTTAAATTGCCGATAAACGGTGCGGTGTTGGTTTGGTTCGTTTAGGCGTTTTCTTTTTTCTTTGTTAGTCTAGTTTCATGGTTTTTTTTTTATTCTCTTGTCCGTTTCTTTCCGTTGTTGTGAAGCGGGAGGCGCTATAGAAATCGCAAATTATTATTATTATTATTAGTTCCTAGCTTCAACTAAAAGAAGGCCATTGGATACTGTTGAAAAGTATGTCAATAGTAGTATCGTTACGTGAAATGTTATTATAGTTATAGGAGTGTCTGAATAAAACCGTTTTTAGTAGCACTGACCCAGCTAAGGGGCACAGAGAATAAGTCAGTGTTACGTGAATTTGGTCTATCTATTTTTAACATAAATAAAAATTTAAAAAGAGGGCAAGTAATTATTGCAAACATTTTCAAGTCGTTTTTTACACAATGTTTTATTATTTTATATAGTACTACATTGCTACGTCACGATACCACGTAATACTACTCCATTTCTATTGTTGAAAAATGGTTCAACCGGACGCCATTTTCTTCACTGGCAAACCATTTATCCCAATTTCTATCGTAATTATTAAGATGTTTCTGCTTTGTTACACATTGTGTATATACAGTATATTGTTAATCTTCAATCTTTGTGAATGCCCCATTCTCGTCTGCCACTGTTTTAGCAGTGTAGATTCAAATAAAGATTGTTAATATTATAAGCCACCATCAAGCTTATGAAAACGTTAAATTAACATATTATATTCAGTTACATCATCAATTTCTCCAATCTCAGCAGTTGTCACTTGTCCCAATAAGAATGGAATTATGTTCATTCAATGCATTCTAAAATGTTATCTAATCAGTTTCGTATACGTTTTTTAAATCGATTAAATTGTAGATTAAATAAATGTATCGTCTATAATATAGATAGTGTATTACCATAACTTTTTATTTTCTTCTAATCAGTTTCTTATTTTTATTACTGTATTTCACTAATCCTGGAGTTGAATCAATTGGTTATCAGTGACTAGCGATATTACACTGGTTGAAACTCAATGAAAGTGAAGAATTAAAGGCGATAAATGTGAAATTTTGCCTATATTTTTTTGCATGACAAAACTGACATGACATAATATTTTATCTGTTATTGTTGATGACATAACCTCAGCTACTGCATTCGTCAATCAATTGGTTGTCTGTTGCATTGCGATTCAGCAGTCTGCAATTTGTATTTTATTTCGATTTTGAATTGATCTGTTATATACCGAGTTTCAATGCTTCTGACCACACTCACACAACACTGCTAAAAAAAAAAAAAACAGCACTCACACAACACTGCTTAAAAAAAAAAAAAACAGGAATCAAACGTGAAAGAATTACAAAACAATGGTTTCAGTGAGGAATTATTGTACATTTATTTATCCTATAGTGTGACTGACAGCCTATTCCCTCTGCATCATCTTTTGCTTTTGCAACTTCTTCTTTGAAACCTTCTTTTTCTTTTCTTCTTCCTCTGGTTTGGGAACGATGGTCTCGCGCTCTGACAAGATAATCTCAACGTGGCAGGGAGAGCTCATATAAGCTGAGAAGAAAATAACAATCAAGAGTACTTTCTACAGTATTATTTATTTTTATTTTATTTATTATTTCATTATATTTATTTCAGCAAGAAACAACAATACAAGATCTGAACAAATTTATAAAAGCCGAAGAGGAGAAAAAGCATAAAAACGCTGTAAGGTGTGCTTCTCCAGAATTACAAAAACAAAGACAAGAAAAATAAAATACTGTAGAAACACTGACTGAAACTTAAAATATTTCTTTATAAAAATTGTAAAAGTTCTAGTGAATCTAGTAAGAATACAACATTTAGACATATTGTTGTTAGAGCGTAAATGTCTGGAAGTAAGGATTTCATGCTGGTGAATAATTTCTAACAAATTATAAATAATAAGAAAGTTGATGGTAAAGTAAAATATCGCACAAAAACTGAACAGTGAAATAATTTCTGATGGCACTAGTGCTCATAATATCAAGAGTGCCTTGTCTTCCCTCGTATGACTGTTGATGTAAAATCAACTGGGAAGCCTTTCTCTGAACTTGCTCGATCATTTGGGTCTGAAATTTTCTACAGGGATACCAGATCTCACAGCAGTACTGAAGATGAGAGGACTAGGCACTAATAAAGAACAGGTGTAGAACAACCCCTAGTAATTGCCCTAACAACACCCAACGATTTATTGCACTTTTTTTATACTTCATGAACTTCTTTCAGTCATCAGATATGGAAAAACCAAGAAGTTTTGTACATAAAAAAAACTGTAAATGATATTATTGAAATGGTTAGATTTGTTTTTCCCAAGACTAGAGACATTTGTTCTGTGTGCCAGATTGACATTTTAAACAATACATTGAACAAAAACTATTACAATATCTTTCAATATTATCAATCTGCTTACATACATTCATAAATAAATATTACATAGTACTTACGGTTGATTCTTCCATGAGCACGGTATGTTCTTCTTCTCATCTTGGGGGCTCTGTTTACTTGGATGTGATCAATCACCAAAGAATCTACGTCCAAACCCTACAGGAAGATACATTACATTACATTATAATTTTGTACAGTGATTTACAAATAAATAAGCCTCAGAAAACACTGAAAATATATTGTTTTTAAATCAAATCACAAACATTTCAGTGAAAAACAATTTAATTCACCTGGTGAAGCTAGTTGTTATTAGGAAAACATGTGTTTCAAAAACAATGTGCAACAAAAATGAATATTTAAACTGAACACTTGCTTTACTAATACAGCTTTAACAGTACAGAAACTGATTTTCTCTTCATTATCCATGTTTAATGCTTTTGTTATTGGAGATGTTCTATTAATGGAGATGGGTCCACCAGCATTGCTACAGAAATTCACTTTGGTTTTCCCTGGCCTCCCCATTTTCAGATTGCTGTTTACGGTTTGTTTATTGGACCAAATAAATAACAAAATTAGAAAGAAAAACTAGAGATGATGTGCTCGAGCATTTGGCTAATTGGTATGGCTCCTGCCTCTTGCACGCCAGGGCACGAGTTTGATACCCGGCTCTATGTCGAGTATTTAATTCGGGTCTTTTATAATAATAAAAACGCTCAGCTCCTCGAATAACCCTCTCAGGAGAGTTAGGCGAGTTAAGGACCATGTTTGTATCTGTCTGATGTTTATTTAAAGCATTAATTTATAAGTTAGCACCGGACCTGCTTACAGGCATTGCCTTCTTGGTTTCTGTATTGTATCATAGGTGGTGGAATGAATAAAGTTTATTATTAACTTGAAAACTGTACAAGTTAAACAATAAATGCAACGATTATGGAAAGAGAGAAAAAGAAAGGTGGATTTAAATTACCCTACGGAACTGAGGTTGGTAGAAGACAGAATTGTTGTTAGTTTTATTGAGTAGTTACTTTACTGAATATAAACATTTTTTGAACCTCAGTTTTATTCAACCACAGAAACAAGAATTGGGAGTGAAACAATAGTAAATATAACTACCACACTTTCACTTCACAGTAAAAGCAGCCCATTGACCTATGAACAGTTTGCTGTAACAATGAATTGATCACCTACCACCAATAAAACAATTAGCATTTTTGGAAACCAACCTTGTATTCTGCATTGCTTTCAGCATTCTTCAGTAGCTGCAGAAGAAACTCAGCACTCTTGTGAGGCCATCGTCCCTGGGTTGCGTTCCAAGCTTTGGCCTGGGCTTTGCGTCCGGTGGAACCATTGTATCGGCGAAATGGTACACACTGTTTCTTGGCCATGACATCCTTAAGGAAGCGGTTTGCCTTGCGGATGTGCATGTGTTTGATCACTTGAGCTGTCTCCCTTGTGTTCTAGCAAAACAAAGGAAATACAACATTTTTAACATAATTGTCACAAGTCCCACTTAAAAACTTGAAATACTCAGATAGTATTCAAAAAATTCAACTATGCAAGAAAATACAATTTATGACAAATTTCCCAACCAAAAATTTTTATATTTCTTCATCAATATTATTAGCCACAAGTATATATTACTGTATCACAATATTCAATAACATTTTATGTTTTTCTATTGTTGTCCCTTTATTTTAGTCCTTTTCAACCATATTCCCTTCAATGTCTGGTATCTTTGGAGTTCTTACCTTGAAATGAACTCGGAGATAAGAGCCACGAGCCTTGCATGCTATAAAGACAATATTTAAAAATAATTTTTATGAGGCTTAACACATCAGTTGTCATGAGTGAAATTAATATTGAAATATGAAAAAAATTTTGCCCACACACTTTAAATTAAACTGCAGTTTCAGAAAGTGTTAAGTTACATTGACAACTACATTTACTGATAGTAAATCAAGTTTTTCAACATTCATAAATTAATATTAATACTGTGGATACCAATTCCAAATGGTTACATGCAGATAATTTATATAGAAAACAGTCAACTTACACTTTGCAGCATTTTCAACATCATGCGAGTAGCGAGTCATCCTGAAACCTAAATGACAAGAAAATGGGTCAACAGTGTACATTTTGCAATGAAAATTGTTGATATTAACACCAGTGCTAAAAAGGGACCATGTTAACATTTAGGCCATTCCAGGTGTCAACCTACATGACTGGTAGTCAATTATTGGCAACTAAATATAATTTTGACAGAAATATATTCTGGATCTGGATAATTTAAAGTATACAATTGACAAGTGCATAATAATGTATGGCACTTGGCTTTTCAGGGGCAAGGCTAGGCCAACAATTTGCAGTATGCATGGAGATTTATTTATGCCCAGCTAGTTGGGGCCCGTTTATACAACACACCAATACACGGATTATTAGCGATGCGTGTTGTATAAACGCAATAGTGATTCCGTGTGATTGCAAACATCTGGAAAAAAGGCTACTTCAAATAATCCCCAAATTTGGTGGATTGGGATTCCTACTTGTGCCTGCAGGCAACATCAAGTGGTAATTAATCACTGACCAAGTCGAGGTCACCAAAAAGAATACAGGTTTATCATAAAAAACGTTTCTGCATAGTTAATTTAAGCAATATATTATGCAGGATATCATCAATTAAGATGTTCAAGTTAATTCTTGAAATTTTGTTAGGATTATAATTTTCATTTGTAAATTGTAGCTCTATTGTGAACAAAAGGCAAATTAAGGTAGAGTTTTAATTTCCACTGTTCTAGTTGGAGACCGCCTACTGTAGTGTTTACAAAACAATGGGCTGGACGGAAAGTACATTTAAAGTGTGCACTTGGGGATAAAAACTAATTGTTGATTTGACCACACACCCCACAACGCAATGCTATTTGCTGTAACACAGTTTCAAAAGTACAAATGAGTGTCTTTGGTGGAACGGCCTCCAGCAGTAATTAGGGTTCAATGACACAACATCGTTTTCAATCCAACAGCGTAGTATAAACACAGCCTTAGTCATCTTGATTGTGCTGTGTGATGTTTTTTGGCTACTTTTTTATGAATTGATGGAATGGGGAGGAAGGTGCTTTTTATATTATTTACCCCTCCTAGCTAGCTATTTTTTTTAATTGCACAGATGATACCACAAAAACCAACTCAAATTTGCGTGTAAAATCACTAGCGAGGAAAATAGGTGTGCAGAATCGTAATTACTGCATAATACATTGTTTATTTCAAGATTAAGTCAACCAAAGCCTAATATTCAGCAAAATCTGCGCAGAAATCAGCCCTTATTTTCCCAAATGTGCTGACGGATTTTTAGGCCAAAATTTTGCGTGGAAGATATATTCCAGCACTGTGGCACAAGCCAGGCTTAACTATACAGCTGGGTCCTAGGCCTCCTTTGGTCTTCGGTACTACACAAGTAGGAAGGCCTACTTATTAGGCTACTACTACAGTAGGCCTACTAGGCTAAGGTAAGCCTGGCCTCCACCACACCAGCACCAAAAGTTGATATTCTCTCTTCCTCTGTCTAGTAAGCCTAGGCCTACGGTAGGTCTCCGACTATACTAGGCCTATCTAGCCCAAGCCCTACTTACTACTGGAATGAATGTTAATGTGGATGCCCTCTCTATTTCTGTGGTGTGGGGCTGCCTAGCCTAAACCTAGCTAGGCTAGGCCTATATTTTATATACAGTATATACATGACTCTTCAAAATATTATCAACACAGGCCAAGCTAGCCTGACACGAGCTAAGTTAGGTATGCATCGATATTGATTAATCATTGTATTGGACAAGTCCGAGTGGTGGATCAGAGTGGTGGATCATGGATGGGACAGATGTCTGTTCAGTTCTCTTCCGTTCAGCCAAGTGGGGTTCGATGCAACACATATTACTAGATAGATATTAGTGATTCAGAAAGCTAATTGCAATAGTGGTCATTAAATTAATATTTTAAAAATATACACTAACTAAAACTGCAGTTTAAAATATCCTAAAATATACTGATGCAAAGGATTTGGCGAGATTTCTCTACACAATCGAACCAAAAACTTACGTTTCAGGGCTACACTTGGAAAAAGGAAGAACAGGGCATGATGGGAAGAGAATCTGACGTGTTGGGCTAGATCGCATACACTGAAATGAGATCTTCATCTTTACACGCGAGTTCACACGCAAACATAATGTAGGGGCCTACCTAGGGCTTATGTGCAGTTATTTGAGCATTCCAATTTTCCAAAGTACGGTGTGTAGGTAGTAATTTCCCTATGTTAATAACTACCCTGCATTGAATTATTAGAAATTGTATTATCGGCTTCTGTTGGGCTAGAAAAAGAGGAGCGACTAGGCCATGGATGAGGGTAACTAGGCCTAAACTAAACATAGCAGGGCCAGGCCGGCAAGCTCATGCTGCGTATTGAAACCTCCGACTACTACATACAGTATAGATATATAGGCCCACCATCAACTATGTATGATGCGTACATGTAGGTGCCCATTTGTGGTTTCTCTCATTTATGACGTTTTTGCGTTATTTTTACAGGTTTGCAAAATGGCGAGTAATGTTAATGATAATGGTTATGAGTATGACGCACTCCTGTGGTATCACGAAGATGACTCTAAATTTGCAAAGGAGATGTTGAGAACTCTAGAGGGAAAGAATGTCACTGTTTATATTGAAGCTAGGGATAGACAAGGAGGAAAATATACACTGACTGAGTATACAGAAACTATAAGAAAATCTCGTTACATCTTCCTTCTAATTTCCGAATCAACAAAAAGTTGTGGAACTTTCGAATTCCAAATGCATCAAAGTTTGCAGAATTCACTAATGAACCGGCTGCAGAATGTTATTCCAGTTCTGATAAATGTTACGGAAGTACCAGATATTTTGATGTCTCTGGCACCTCTAAAGTTGGATGAATTTTTTAATAAGAGGCTCTTAGATTTATTTAGACAAATATAAGCCACATAGTTGCAGGCCACACAATTTTATATATTTGTACTTAATCTAAACATTTTTTTTTGTAGAAACCAAACAGATCTTGCAATATTTAGAATAGAATATCATTATCCACCATCCAAGTATATTAGATAAATAATAATAACTGTTTGACTAGGAACATGTTGTAATACAGTAATCGTATCAATATTAGATCAATGAATAGTCCCTTATTTCATTTGTACTGTATGAAAAATGCGCCTCGGGCGGAATTGGAACCTGCAACCTCTTGCAACCAAAGGCAAGTGTCATGCCTATTAACCACGGATAGTGTATACATGCAGATATAACTGCCAGGCAGGCTTTCTTCCATGAACTGACTAGGAAAGCATAATAAGCAATATTCAAAGGTTAGCTGCATAGCATGGTAAACACAATACAGTACATTAAAACAAATGGATAGATACAGTAATAATGACAGTGCTTGAATAGGAAAGAGATGTTATAACATCTTGACTTAATTTCACAAATACTGTATTTAAAAGCGACTCTAAATCTCGGGAAGTTTTATTCTCACTTATTGAACTATGAGGCCTCCCAAAGCATCTAACTTTGAAAGACACTGATTGGTAGATATAGAAAATTACTATTCCTAAAATACTGTTTTTTAATGTGGTCTTTATGACAAAAAATATTAAAATATAATTTGAACTCTAATTTTAATGAAGATGGATTAATTGATAGTGTTAAGAGAGCATTTCAGATACTGTATATCTGTTTTATAGAATGTAAGGAAGAGACCTTTTATCACAACTTTTAAGAATCAACTTAAAAATACTGATTACTTAAAATGCTCTTCGACAGTTGTTATCACAAAAAAAAAATCTAATATAATTTGAAATCCAATTTTAATGAAGTTGGATTGACTGAGAGTGTTAAGACAGTTGTATCCGTTTTTTAGAATGTAAGGGAAAAGACCTTTTATCACTACTTTTAGTCTAATTCATACTCATCATGATTGAAATTGGTCATTTGACTTCCATTTGTAATTTTATGTGTTTTGTGATGTATTTGGATTTGATGTGTTTTATCCCTCCATTTCAGAGGTTTTTGGAGAAACTGAAATAACATTACAATATTGACTGTGGAATGAACTGTTATACATTGGCTGTTCTGGTTAATTCCACCTCTTACAAATGTCTTTAATATTACTGTACTTTTGTACACTATTCATTTTCTTTATTTTTTGATATGGACAATGGATGTCTGAAATACAATTTGAATTAAATGGATAAATTTTAAGTATACAGAGAAGAATTCTGTTATTTTCATTGAGGTTGCACTAAAGTTTACATACCAAATGATGAATTAGACCGTTTGCTTTGCTTAAAATAAGGATAAACACCCGCTACATGTGTGTGTGTGTGTATACTATAGGCTTAGCACTCTTTGCTTATTGCCTTATTGCATTGGTAATGGTTATTATTATGATAGATTCTAATTCTATCATGAATAATCATTGTCCCTACATTATGCGAGCTATTCATACAATCGATACATTGATAGGAATTGTTCATACACTGACGAATGTATTCAAGATCAGTAACGGGACGCATTGGGACTCTGCCATGAAGCATTTAGGTGGACATGGCTCCAATATTTTACAGGTGCTGAGGTTAAATAACACTTATTGGTACCTCTATTTCATATTAAAAATGTAATTATTAAACACCAAGGAGGTACTTTGGGGGTGGGGGCGATTGAGAAACAACACTGCCCTAGGGGGGTAAGGGTTGGGAGCGGGAAATTTTTGTTTTCTAGACGCCCAGAAATAATATCTGAGGCGTTTTGGGTGATAAATAATTTCCTTTTCTTTTCCTCTTAATTTTTTTTTTATTTTCCAAAAAATGTGGGGAGGAGGTAAATCCTTCTCTGGGGGAAACATGGACCTCTTTTGGGGAACTAAGTCATTTCCACGGGCGGAACACTAATTTGAAAAAACCCAAAATTTTGACAGTCTTAATGTCATTTCCAGGCATGTTAAGGGTGCTTATTTTGCTCCATATAGTGGGACCAACTAAAGTAAGTTTTGACAGTGTTGGGGACATTGACGCACCTCTCGTTGGGAAATTTGATACCGTTAATATACAAGACTTTTGGTTGTGTCTTCTGAACTTGTATTGTATTTTGTACTGATTTTCCCTGGAAATAGATGATAAAAATAAAATAAAATAATTATTATGCATCTACTCTGGAAATCTTCTACTCTTGATCTAAGTTCAATTGGAAAACCATTTGACTGTTACCACCATTTCTTCAAAGGCTTTTTGTCCCTTTTGATCTTGTTTATGTTTTACCTTCTCAAACTCCTTTGGATTATGCTTTGCATTTATTTCTTTATTGCACCCAACAGTGTAAACACCAATAACAGGATGGGAGTAAAATATATAAGGTACAATATATTATACACCTAAACTAAAATATAAAACATAAAAGTAATATTGAAAAAGAATCAATACAAACTATAAAAATATAATAGCACACTTAAATTGATTGAAATTACAATGGTAAATTTAGTTTAGTATGCATTAAATTCAGCATAGGTTCAATCTTATTTCTCAACATTTGAACATTCTAGCCGTTTATGTTTCTGTGTAAGAAACAAATGCAAATAGAACATCTTGCTATTAAAAAGTATTAATGTTTATATACTTTACTTACAGAGGACTGTTTTGTGTATGTATTTTATTAGAGAATGGTGCAGAAGTGATTGATATGGCTTGCGATGCTCATGACTCTACAGTGCCAGATCCAGAAATTTGAAATAGAGGGGCCCAGAGAGGGGCTTTGACAGATGGAGGGTCTATACTATCTCAGCCCTACCATGGTTGGGGCTGAGGTAAGAACATTTATGTTCTTAACATGGTAATGTTTCCCATAAGAAGATTTTGAGAGGATGACCTTGTGCATCCTCTTAACAGTATAACTCAGGAAAACTTCAGGCACTGTATTCAAAAAAAGAGATGGTAAAGGCATATGTATGCCTTATATATAATAAGAGTGGGTTCAAAAAGATATCTGGACACAGAAGGTAGTAGCATGACTCAAGATCATGTCCAAATCACAATACGTGTCCTACAGTATTTTAAATCATGTGAATAAGAAAAATGTAGGTCAGTTGCGAAAAATGATAAATAGTTCAAAATTCAATTTCTTAATTAGTGCCATAGATAGAATTGTATTCCTCCATGAATACGTAAAGTGCAACAAACATAAATGCATCATATACAATAAATAACAATGACATGGTGAAATATTAATAATACGCTATAGATGACTTGAGTTGCTTTTTCCTCCATGAATAAGTAAGGTGCAACATCCGAATAACAAAAAATAACAATGACTATAGGCCTATTCACACAAAGTGCAGGTATGGTGAAATATTAAAAATATGTGTTATAAATACACAGTTTGCAATATGCTATGCATTATATTAGAAAATAGGCCTACAAATTAATGAATACGGTTTCGAAAAACAAACGGCTGATGCACTTTTAACTACACTCAGGCCTACTTGCCAAATTTGCATTAATAAATTATTGATGACGCTCTAGATCAATTGTACTAGCACCACTACCACTGAACAGCCGGTATACCTTACGCCACTGCCTTTGATGCCAATTGCCCGCTACCCCTCAAGAGAGACACAACACTTAGCGTTAGTTGGGATATTGAATTCATACCTACCCCAGCTCAACCATGGTGAACAATTTTTGAAAATATAGCGTCTCTAGACGCCCAGAAATAGAAGCTGGCAACCTGCAAAGCAGCTACCCCACATTCAACACCCATCATGCAGGGGAGGATTTAAAAGCTAGTGGAAGTGGACTACTGATAGATACCATACCCAAAACATGTTATAAATAGTTAATTGCTATATTGATACCTCTAGAGATTTTCAAAATCAATCTTAATTACTAGAATTAAGGATTGTCAATAAAGTTGAAATTATAGGCAATACAAAAACAAGCGAATGGTGGATTTTTGTTTAAATATACAACATTAAAAAGATGTGAACAATAATACTAACTTCATATAGGTATCAGTGTATATTTATTTTTTAAAAGTAATAGAATTGAGAAAAAGTGGTCCGGCTAAAGCCGGTGCGGCCGGTACGGTTCCGACGGCCCTATTTATTTAAAAGGGATAATTTGATAGAAAACCATGCAAGGTAAGATTCCCCCTGTCGGGGGTACTAACCATCTGTCGGGGGTACCAGCCCTATGTCAGGGAAGATCTGGCGCTACCACCGTAACCCATACGATCGCGATAGTATACAACACCTCGCACATACAGTAGCACTGCTCGCAGTAAACAGTTTTTAATCCCTAAAATTTGACAGCTTAGTCAGGCATACGTAAATTGTACTTTCGGCGGTCGAGATTTCATCTTTCCCCAACGACCTTGCCGGAAATTCCCCGACAAGGGGGTCCAAGCGGGGGTCCAGAAATCCCCGATGGGGGTCCTCTCACCCCCCCCCTCCGATCCCCCTCCGATCCCGGGACACCCCCCCGCTAGCGCAGCTCCCCTGCTTTAACCACAAATTTTAGCCCTATAATTACCATTTAACAACAGTGTGTGATGAGTGATAACTTACCACTAAGTAACTGTACTGTATTTAGAATTTAACCTTGATAAATTGTTTAATTAAAACAAAAATAGTATAGATGTACAGAAGTATATCATTTGAAAACAATACAGTCCAGTGAAATTATATATTATTTTTATTGTTTGACGTATTTGAATGCACATCATAAAGACACAGAATTGATTACTAATTGAAAATTTTAAATAATATAAAGAATATTGTGAGCATTTTTCTATCATAAATAGTGTGCATTTTCAAGCCACTATCGTATAATGATATATAGGCCTATATCATATATAAACTTGTATGTATACATGTGTGGTCAGAGGAGCATTGAATTCACAATCCACAATCTATTTATGAAGACCTGAACCGTTATTACGCTTCAGTAAATTTACAGTGTTTTATCAGCTATAATCTTAGACCACCTATACATTATACAACCTCACCAAAATATATCTAACCCTATATTCAATATCATTAAATATCATAATACCTATATATCTGTCTCTTATACACATCTAGATGTGTATAAGAGACAGCATAAATGTATCATATTATACAATATTTAGATTCCCTATCAACAGTCGAGATTTGAAGATATAAATTGCTTACTTTGTATATTTAAGTATGTTAAGCTATTAGCTCTTGTTTAATATCATTAATTAACATCATATATCTAGTTACAGGCCCGTAGGCAGGGGGGTGTACAGGGTGCGGATGCACCCCCTCCAAATTCCAAAAGTTCCACTTTTTAAAACCTATGATTTCATAAAAACGTTCCTAATTATCACAAAATGCTATAGCATGCACTGCATTATATATTTGCCAGCTTATCTAACCGTTGATTTTTAATAATGTGGTATGAAATTGTTAGAAATTGATCGTCTCTGGTGATTGCAGATTGATCTATATAATATGAAGAATGTTATCTATAGGCCTGCAGATGTACAGGACATAATAACGTTACTTTTTCAGGTCCCAAAAACACCCAAATTAATTAAATATTCATGAATTATGTGTTTGAGAAATCTATTATGTAAGACCCTCAAAAGGCTACCGGTACTTGTCGCTTTTCTCACAAACCCCTCCAGGCCTCTGCCCCTGGACCACCAAATTTCAAAAAGTCCACTTTTTAAAACTTCACTAAAATCGTTCCTAATTATCGCGAAATGCTATAGTACGCATTACATTTGTTTGCCCGCTCTTCTACCCGTTGATTTTTAATATTGTACTACGAAATCTGTTGGAAATTATCAGCTCCAGTGATTGTAAGCCTACAGATGTAAAGGACATGAAAAATTATGATTTCACAGTGGTGGATTCAAGGGAGAAGAGCCCCCTAAAATTATAAAAGAAATGGAGAAAAAAGAAAAATCATAATTAAATTTTGTCTCATAGTGCCATTTCCGGTCACTTTGAGGTGCCATAATCATAAATTTTCTTACCTCAGCCCCAACCATGGTGGGGCTGAGGTGGCATTGATCATCTGTCTGTGCAAGTTTCTCCCTTCACCCCACCCTCTATTTCTCCTGCTTTACTGTAGGTGTCTAGACAATACTCAAATGAATGAAAATTTAAATAGGATATTACAAATTACGGATTTTAGAAATCCATTAAAAAGGCCCTCAAAATGCTAATTTGTCAGAGCTTCCAGAAGATTTTCCCCACCCTCGCGGGGATCCCTAGGCAGTCGCCCAACGTAAGGTTTACTTCGGTTGTAAAATGCACGTCCCCATCGAAAATCCTGCCTACGGGCCTGTAGTTAGATGGTGGACCCATAATAAATAACAAAAGTGAAAACATACACTTTATAAGGGTTGAGGACCAAACAAAAATGCTGCAACTGCAACAACTACTTCCGATAGAAGGAACTGAATTATCTGGAAGTGGTGAGGAGGTACAAAACACTCGGTCTATTTCCAAAAGTAAAGGGTCAGAATGGCTGCGAAAAATATGGGACACTGTAAATCTAAAATTTCAGCCTTGGTTTAACAAAAAGAAATTCATATTAAAACTGTAATTAATATACACAAAGGAGGTACTTAAACATATTTAGCTCCACAAATTCAACCAGTGTTTCGTAGAAGACAAGAGTTTCCAAAATACTAGTTGGTTTCCTTTAACTTTTTTTTTAAACTACAAAGTTTAATGATTTTGTTATTGATATTCGTCATGCAAAACTTAAAAGTGAAAATTGTAGTAGTAATTATTCTATCCCTCAAGGTCGAGGATGATGGTCAGTAGTTCTGTTTGGGAAAACAATATGCTCTCTAACGATTAATATGCACGCTCTGTTTGATTATTTAACGGCAACACAGGGGCGGATCCAGCCCGGTAAGAAAGGGGGAGTGAATGTGCGAACTGAGTGAGAGTTCCAGGGAAGAGCCATGGTAGGAGTGCAAGGGGTATTAAATCTTTGATAGAGCATTTTAATTTAGAACAAGATGATTTCTGGCTCTCTTATTTGAGTGACAATTTGCTAAATCAGGGTACGGAAGTTGGTAGAGGGGAGGTCTCCCACACTTCCGCGAGCAAGAAAGAACCTCCCGAAAATTAACCCATATCCCGCAAATTCATAATATTTGCACGTTTTGTCTCACGGAAGTCATTGCCAATGTGCATCACAAAGTGCAGTAAAATAAAAGGAAATGTTACGAAAGCTCATTAACAAGATAAGTGGCGGGTTCAAGGGGAAAGCCCCACCCCCAAAATTTGTCAAAATTTTTAAAAATGGAGAGAAAAAGATATTCATATTAAAATTCATGTCTGAGAGTGCATATCCGGCCATCTAGAGGTGCCATAATCAAAAGGCTTGTTTAATTGATTTTTAGAGTCTACTAATATGTAGATTACATACATGAGTCTACATAAGCTAGATTACGTCACCTTTTCCTGGTAAAGCAAACTTTCCCGGCGTGCTTTTTTCATGGATAAAACAAACACCACTGCTTTGCACCATATCTTCGCTCATTAATCACCGTAGTTTAGCTTACTTATGCATGGAGGGAGCACTTAAAATGTACGAAATCATTTCACTACCCGACAACTTTATTCATGCATTACATAAATAGTTTCATCTTGCTGTACTCCAACATCACTGGCGCATGGTAACAACCAACTGGCAGTCCATTTCCAGTCACACATTCTCTCCATAACGCAACACCCCTTGTTCCGTGTCATCTGGATTTCTTTTTTTTTTCGGATTATTATTCCGTCTCTAAATTAACTTTATCGTTGGTGGCGCTGTCCAGAATGAGAAAAATAATACTGTAATTAAAAAAAGAGACTTGTGGCAAGCAGGGTTGCCATTTGGCCTTTTTGACGGCCAGATTCCTCAAATCTGGCCGTATAAAAATTTGCCTGGCCGTAACGTTTGAAAAGTCACGGTCAAAATATATTTGGCCGAATTTGGCCGAATTTTTAAAAAGTTTACATTTTTTTCAATATAGGCCTAATATAACATAGACTTGTTTTGGATATGTTGTTTTTGTTTGCTTAAATTCTATATTTGATTCTAATCATGTACCTTTGTACGGTACTTGCACTAAACGCTTAATCTAGGCCTGTTACCCGGACCCCTTTAGCCGATTAGACGTAAGAGAGTTTATTTAAAAGATAACAGTTACATTTAATAATTTAAATTGTTCGGATGAAATATTATTATTTTATATGAAGTTTATCCTCGTTTAAGCTTTATGAAGACTGTTCAATGCAAGTTTGTACCATTGTGTGTGTTTGCATATGTTCCATCCTAGTGGAGGTTTTATCTCTTTGGAATCTCTTTGGAATATAAATTAAATACTTTAATTAATTTATTATTGCCCACTTGAATTGTATAGGCCTAGGTGCTGCAGTGTTCTTTATGTAGAATTCGATGTGATCATTCGGGTCCGATGGCACCTCCAATTTCAAGCAAGCGTTGTGCCAGAAACTTCTTCGAAGTTATTCTAGAGTTAGGTTGTGTATGAGAATGAAGAAGATAATTCTGATAGCAACATTGATATATTGCTTTAAGTACTGCGACAATAACATTCAGAGGCGAATTTAGAAAGTTTAGATATAAAGTATTTATTAAAGTTTTCATAGGTTTGTTTTAACGCCAGTTTGTGTTACTAGCCTATAACTTAATTCACCATGGATTTGCCAATAACAGGCTCTTAATTTTTTTGCTCTAGCATAGTTACCAACCTGTGAGATTTGAAATGCGTGAGTGACTACACCATTTGGCTGAAGGGGGTGGGGGGCAGGGTCCAAAGGCGGAGCCCAGCTGGGTCGAGGGGGCGTGGCCCCAGGCGCTCCGACGATCTGAGCATTAAAGCTGTTTAAAAAGATTTCAGAGAGTGAGTGTGTCTTGACAATAACGGTGACATAAGCAAATATATTTTTAGTTTCAATGTAATTGAGCACCTGAATTGGCCTAAACATTTCACTAATAAATTTTTAGTAACGCGTCAGTGAAATAAATATTCACATAAATATTAAGTACTCTCTAATGACTCAATTATTGGTACTGGTACTTGTAGCCGTCTGATTTCAGACATTCGGCAGCCATTGACATTATGTTGGCGTTAAAAGACTGCATATTGTGATGAGGGACCTGTGTACAAAGAATTACCAAACACAAAAAATATGGAAAACTGAATGATATTTACAAAATATTCTATTTAATGCCTGTCTCTTATACACATCTAGATGTGTATAAGAGACAGGATTATCTCCTGATAGGAAAACAGTTGTATCATCAGCGAAAGATACCGTTTTAAATACATTACTAACCAAATGAATGTCGTTAACATAAATTAGAAACTGCAAAGGGCCTAATACTGACCCTTGTGGTACGCCACACGTTATGCCTGCGAGATTTGATTTATTTGAGTTAACAATGACATATTGTTTCCTACAACTTAAGTAACTAGAGAACCTGAAGAGATTGCTGATGCAGCTAAATTAAAACCTAGGTATGGTATACATTTAAATAGCTACAGAAAACTCTTTTAGTACTCTAGCAAGACATATTCATCATGCTGGTTGTCTTTTTAAATAATCAGATTACTGGGGCAGATGCAGGATTTGGCAGTAGGGGGTGTGAGAGTCCATGTGACCATGCTTGGGGCTGAGGTGCTAAAATTTCGAGAATATTGACCTCTGAGTGCCCAAAAATTGCACTCTCATACCTTAAAATTCTTACCAATAATTCATATCAACAATATAATACAATTATTTTTCTTAATACAACTTACGAGCTGCATCCGCCCCAGGATTAATAGGGCAAGACACTGGTTTGGAGAGAGCTCTATCAGGAGTAATGTTGATAGATTGCTTGGAGCTCTTGTTTTGATGATGTCCTACCTTCATCCAGCAGGGGTTCAGGGGGCACAACATCCTTTGTTGGGGAAGAAAGGTCAATATTGTCATTATCAACCATTCATGAATTCCTGTAAATTAAAAAATGTAACTTTTAGATTTGTAATATTTAAAATTTTGTGTAGATATGTGAAAGAGCTTCTTGGTGCATTGTCTGTGAGTGGTATTGTAGAAATCGATCCCACAAATGAAAAGTATTTCCTACCACACCATCGGCGTGATTTCCTCAACACAAAGAACTTCAAATCAGTATGTGTTCAAAGCATGCAACTAGTACCTAAGCTTTGTCTAATTAGAAAGGAAGTTAAGGAATGCTTTAAACTAGATGGACCCCAAGGTAACTTGCCTCCTACAAATTTTTTTCTTATTTCTTGGTATTATTATGTAACATGTTAAGCAACGTTTTTTAGAATGTTTAATATTCTGCGGGATGAATGCTGCCTGTAACTAATTTGGTGAGGTGCTAATTGGAAGAATTGAAAGTTGTTTGAATGTAACATACTTGGATTATATAGGCCTACCCAAATCCCAAAGCACTTGAGGTGGACTAGCTTGTACAGTAAACTTGCTTCTCCCCTAAAGGCCATTTTCCACTAGGCACATTCATTCACACGAATCAGAATTTTTACTCATACATACAGTATGTGCAATTGAGAATCTTGTGATAAAAATTGAACTGCGCATGTGTATAGGCAAAAATTTTTTATTTGTGCGAATAATTTATCTAGTGGAGAACAGCCTTTAGGTTCCCTTCATGTCTGACCAATCTTCCATCATAAAAAGCCATGGCAATCCAACTTGAGGGTGATCTCCCACTGTGTGTGATTTAAGCTGGCCTGATGGAAATCCCCTTACTGTAGGTCTAGTACCAGCCATTGCAGAGCCATAACATCACTAGTATCTGTGGCTTTGACATGAAACATCTTCTCAAACGTCCTCTACTACAATATACATTTGAGGAGACTGACGAAAAGAAAAAGAAGGTACCTGGTAACCCGGTACCAGATAATCTTGTCTATCCACAACAGAAATGTACAATAATTCTTTTTTTTTTTCAATTTTGTAGGCATTCCTCAATCTGTTTTTCTTGATTTTGCAAAACAGAAATCAGAAATCAATGCCATGAAATTTAATCATAAACTTGTGACATTTATTGAGAGAGTTGATGGCTTAGTGGAATTACTTGGTAAGTATTTTACTGTTATGATTTATGAGAATCAAAAACAATCATTTTGACCTAAAATTCAGCATAGGATCAATCATTTTTTTTAACATTCGAACATTCATTTATGTCATTTATGCCAGCCATTTATGCTTCTGTTTAAGAGACAAATGCAAAAAGAACATCTTGCTATTAAAAAGTATTATTGTTTATACTGTACTTTACTTACAGAGGACTATTATAATATATATATATATATATTTTTTAGAGAATGGTGCAAAAGTGATTGATTTGGCATGTGGTGCTGGTGACTCTACCCTGTTAATGGCCCATCGCTTTCCCAAGTCTAATTTTCTTGGGGTTGACTTTGTGTCGGAACAACTGGAGACTGGAAGGCAGCGGGCAAAAGAAAGAAACCTTGGCAACGTTGATTTTGAAGTACAAAACATCGAACAGCTTCCAAAAGAATGGAATGAAAAATTTGATTTTATCTTCTGTCATAATGTAGTCCATGATCTAGCCCACCCTAGTAGAGGTCTAGAAGAGTTCCACAGAGTTCTCAAAGCCTCTGGTATCGGCCTAATCATTGACCTCAATTTACACACTAAACAATCTGAAAATGTAAAAACTAATTACGCTGTACAAAAGTATATTTTTAGTATGTTGTATTGTGTGCCCGGCTCATTGTATTTTGATGGAGGGGAAGGGTTAGGTGCAGCATGGGGCGTGGAAAAAGCAGTTGAATTGATAGAAAGAGTTGGTTTTAATGTGACAACTCAAAAGGATGGTGATAAAGTTTCTTACATATGTAAAAAAGAGGTGTAGCTAGGCCCTTTGAAACTGGAAAATATACTACCTCTAAAACAAATGCAATTCCCATTCATCACGCTATGTACAGTAATTGAGGGAAATGTGATTAGCTAACAATAATCAGTTATGTTCTGTAATTTTCCATTTCAATTTTAGTACTGAATTTTGCTACAGTATTTTAATATTTGATAAATTCTGTTATCATTCATTTTATTACCACATCTTGTGATTTTAATCATATTTGTTATTAACATGTTATTAACACTCTGACCGCCAGGGGTTTGAAAAAATAGTATCAGCCACCGCCAGACTTTTTAGCAAATTTTAACACTTTTCCGAAGCTCATTGAAAATGCATGTGATCAGATTGACATGTAATGATACTACAAGAACTAACCAAACACTTTATTCTAATCTGTGACCCATAACAGTAAAATGAAAATGACTCACTTTTGGAGATTTATGCAATTTTGCACAACGAAGCTGAGATAATTGCGATTTCATGAAAGTACATTAATACCGCTATACTTAACATAAACAAATAGTGAAATACTTATGGTCCAGACTGAATGTAGTGTTCAAATTGTTAGTACATGTCAGTAATTACCCCATCTACCGGATTCCTTAAACAAACCTGAAACATGGAGATTTGTTGGTCAAGCATTGTGTTACCAAACACAAAAATCTCTGTATTTGGCGGGCAGAGTGTTAAGCTGTTCCTTTCTTATGGGAATCATTGGGCCAAAAAAACCCCTTTGTGGGGCTTTTCGCCCAATTTGATACCTCAACCACAAATTTTAGCCCTATGATTACTATTTTACCAACCAAAAAAATATGTGATGATCGATAACTATGATCGGCAAATATTTAAGCCAATTGAAAAAAAACCTGTTGTATGCCCATGTACAGGGCTTGTTGAATCAGGCCTTGATATGATAAAATGTATGATTTTTCACAAAACAAAAATAGTGTAAGTATAGAAGTATATAATTTGAAAACAATATAGTTTAGTGAAATCATATTATTTTTATTGTTTGACATATTTGAATATACATAATAAAGAAACAGAATGATTACTAATTGAACAAATAAAATAATCTAAAAATCTTGTGAGCATTTTATAAAACTATCATAAAAAACGAGGTGGCTATATTCAAGTATACAGTTAATGCATAATGTTGCATTCCATACATACATCGTTCTAGACAGACGAAAATTCGCCTCTTGGCAGCTTATTGGACATAATGTGACACTTAGGAAAGAAAAAAGTTGTTGAATGAGTTAGTCCATGCCTGTGTGCTATATATATATCATATCATGTATAAACCGATATGCGTTGACAGAGGAACATTGAATTCACAGTCCACAACGATGCCCAAAACCATTATGTGTATACTTTACTTTGTGTTTTATTTCCTATATTCTTAGACCACCTACACATTATGTGTATGTACACTAATATACAACCTAACCAAATATTTAACCCTATATTCAATATCATTTAACATACAATAACATATCTGTATATACAGCAATATTTTGTACAGAATAACATGATTATTAATAACATGAAAATATACAGCGCTTTAGAATTCCCATTAAATGTCGAGCTACTGTATTGAAGACAAATTTCAATATTGAATTTCCTAATTTAAGTATGTTAAGTTATTACTTAGCTCTCAATTGAAGATTAGAACAAGAAAACATTTTGCTGCAAATTAACAAATGCGTAAACAATAGTTTCTCATATTCTTTGCATAATAACTTTATAATGGTTGCAAATCTAAGGATTTATTGTAGTAAAAATAATTGTTGATAATTCAATAATTACTAAAATAAAACCACAATAATCTGTTCAGAAGCCAAACACATAAATGGCTATTTCTGGAATGGGATTTACAAGCATGAAAATATTACTAATGATATTTCATGTTTTAAAGGCATTACACTATGTATGGATGTAATATAAATTAGAATGATCGTAATTCAGGAACTGTGTAAACTTTAATAATTGGCTGTGATCAACAGCTCATGAAAACCTATACTAATATATAAAATATATATATATAAATAAAATGTCTTTAAACTTTATGATTATATTTTACAGTAAAATATTATATAACTAATAAACATTGTTAGTATAAATTCAAAATAGATAAGTATAATTGTATTTATGGCAATTTCACTGAAATTTTTCACTGAAATTTAAGTTTAAGTAAAACAAATATAAATTTATGATTTAATATCAAACAATTACAACAGAGGGCAGGCTTCATTTACAGTCTGTAATTCTACACTGTAAACCTTTCAGTTTCCACATGCCTAAGCAACCTTGTATGCCTGCATTTATGTTTGTACACTTGTTGAAATTGTAAATATTCTGAACTCTTCAACCATGGGAGAACATTTTTTCCCTCAATGATAATGAAGTGTACAGACAACTTTAATGATGCAAGACGTGAGGACAGTGAGTTGTAGATCAGAGACAACAAGTAATCTGGGATGGGTTGGGGCATGTGCACATGGTGTACTTGTATTTATAGTGAATTAAGAATGAATCTGTCATCGCAGAAAGTGTTCTGACCAATTGGAAACAGACACACGCATACTTGTCAACTCCAGTGGCATAACATTTATGAGCTCTCTAAGGAGCAGAAGGTAAAAGGATGCCATCAAAGAACGTTATTAAAATGTCAATCAGAGCAGACAGGCCTCGGGGTAGAGGACCCGAAAAATCCTTTGCTAGAGGTTCCAGGCCTCTTTGTTGCGCCACTAGCCAACTTATTTGAACTAGCTAGTTCGCTGGCTATACCTTGATGCACTATGGTCCCAGAATAATCGTTATTGCAGATCAGTTAATTTGAATGTAAAATATTTACAAAAAAGAATTAAAATATATAAAAAGAAATATCTAAATAGCATTTATTGTTCATAGTTATCAAGCTTGATCTCATACCACCTCATCATCTATTAAATTTTATTTTTTTTTATTAAGTTATATCTTTTGTTTTTCCATAATTTCAAGGATTTTAGCTTACTTCAATAGAAGTTTTTTTCCACCTAATTAATGTATAAATGTTCCTTATTTTATATAATTTTCATAAATTTTTATTACTTTTTCAGTCCCCTTACCATTAAAAGGCATTCCATTTTGACACCTGTTTCTTTTACTGTATTTCATGCAATTTTGAGGCAAATAAATAATTTCAAATGGAAAAAAAATTACTGAATAAAACTAAACAAAAATGTATTAAATGCAAAATTATTCACCCAGGGAGCAGTATGTGTTTCATAGGTTCTTGACTAATGTAATAATGTTAAGTGCATAGGGGCCTTTAGGCGGTATTTAAGACTTATCAGCACCATTTCAGATCAGACTCATTGTTATTTGAGTAGCAAACAAGCTTCAAATGATAAATACATTGTTCAGAAAATTTCAAAATCAAAAATTTGTTACTTGATTTTTTTCATTCCTCTTAGTAATTATATTTTTTATTTCTTTTTATGACCATAGTTTTTATATATATATAAAATATACAATTTAAACATCTTTGTCTTTCCAGTGTGTCAACTAAACTTTACAACTGATTTTATTAATTATTCAACAGGAATATGCAATGTCCCAGAACCCACATTCACAAATTTACATTTATGACTGCCAAGTTTCTCTATGAATGGTCATTTTGAATTATACATTGGGCAGGGCTTAACTGAATGGTCTATTTCTGTTGAGCTTGTATTAAACATCTAAGCTTGTTAAAAACAATATGAGCTGTCCATTCTGATTGCCTGTTATATATATATACAGCCATATTTATCTTGTAGTGTAAACATGATTCATACTTCAACATGTAAAAACACACAGAACAATGAATATTTTGAAATTGATGATAGGGAAAACTAAAATGAATCACTTAGACTCTGTAAATGATATAATGCAGTAGACCTGGTCATTCACCTCTGACATACTGTGATGTCATTCATGAATGAATATTTAACAGCATGTTTCACACCACTCACTGCAGTTTTAAAAGGAAGTGTAGCATACCATAACATTACATCATGACGTTTGAGTTAAAGCATTTAATAGTTTTTCTTCATCTGTACCAATTACAATCAATTGTTTTTTGATGTCTTCTGACTTAAATCCAAGCGTCTCAAACTGACTCATCAACCGTAAGAATTCTGAAGCCTGAAACAAAAAAGCTGAGTTAATGACTTTAACGATTTTTGTGGTTTTTACTTGCTGGGTTGGCGATTCTTTTTGTACTGCCTCTGCATTTGTTTTTGCTTTTTGAGCATGAAATAAAAACATAGTCAGGAAGTGACTTCTAAAATGTCACTGTGATAACTGACATACAGTATAACATTTATATTTGGATAGTGCTCAGTTAGATTTTAAGTTATCAAAATTGTTTTATATGCTTGCTTCAGTTGATTGATCAATAAAAAATCATCACAAATCTTTAACCTTCATACACCTACGTCAATAATTCAATTTTTAAAGACAGTTATTGTTTATTTGATTACCTTATTCTCATCATTGCTGACAAAGTCTAACACCTCCCCAACCCTAGATTCATCAAATCCTTTATCACACAGCCTCTGTATTGCACATAAAGCTTCAACCACCTATAAAAAGACACCATAATTTGACCAATCAACTTTTATACATAGAGGTGACTGGATTGGATTTATTCAGTGTAAACACCAAGGATAGCCCACGAAAGTCTAGAAGACGACTTATTTCCAGTGAGGTCCTTCTGGTGGTGATTGGGCAGTACACCGGGAGACAATCCCCTACTCTCTTCCGTTCTTTAACGTGCACGTGGGCAATCAATGCACACGGGACCAACGGCTTGAACGTCTCATCCGAAAGACGGTGCGCTATTATAACTTCAGCACTACAGCTGAAATACAAGGAGAGGCAGCGATGGGAATTGAACTGGGGATATCTAGAGATCTCCACGGTTCAGCGCATGCACAGTGGCTACCACCAGATTAGCCAAGTGAACTACGGTAAGCTGCTCCATTATTGGAATTAGAAAAACAATATGCAATTAGTGATACATAAATGCCAACATCATATTGCATTAATGTTTTAGAATATGACCTGCAGAGTATTCTTAGTTATGCATAGGTATTTAAAGTAGCTTAAACCAACAACATAGAACATTCACATACAAGGTCCCTACTGTTGGGGGAGAGGAAATGTTACAGGTACACATTTTTCCATTCTTGGCTCAATATAAAAAGTAAATCTATACTGATAATCATTAACACTCTGCCCGCCAAACACCGAGATCTCCGTGTTTGGTAATGCAACGCTTGACCGCCAAACACAGAGATCTCCGTGTTTCAGGTTTTTTTATGGAATCCGATAGATGGGGTAATTACTGACATGTACTAACAATTTGAACACTATATTTTATTTTATTTCAACAATCTTTAATGAGGGTGGTTCATCCAGCCAAAGCTGATCATTAGGGACCCTTCATCAGTATGGACCGTAAGTATTTTACTATTTATTTGTTAACATTAGTGTAGAGCGGTATTGATTTACTTTCACGAAATCGCAATTATCTAAGCTTCGTGGTGCAAAATTGCGTAAATCTCCAAAAGTGAGTCATTTTCATTTTAGAATAAAGTGTTTGGTACCATTGTAAAGCTAAAATGTTTGTAGTTCTTGTATTGTTCACTACAAGTCAATCTGATCACATACATACTCTCAACGGGCTTCAGGAAAGTGTCAAAATTTGCTAAAAAGTCTGGCGGTGGCTGATATTATTTTTTTCAAACCCCTGGCGGTCAGAGTGTTAATAATAATAAATAGTTATTATTATTTAAACAAGTGATATACTTACTAGTTCTGAGTCACAACCATTGTGCTCAACCACCTTGGCCACCCTTAGTAACGGAAAGCCCATTGCTGCTATGGATCTGGTGAAATGCTGCTGTTCAGTGTTCAACTTAGTAAATATTTGGTTTTCGTCTTCTTGTAGCACTTTAGCGCTTGGTAATGTTTTTGATGGTAGACAGGAGTATTTGTTTAGACTCTGAATCCATTGAAAGAGAAACAGAATAAATCAGTAAAAAAAAAAAATAAAACAATAAAATTCTACACAGGATGAATGTCTCCTTATTCAAATTCAAAACATCTTTATTGCAACTTTTTAGAAGTTGGATTCATATTTTTAAATGTATAAAATACATATAAAAAGTAGAAACATAAGAACATCAATAATCAATCACTAAATGCAAAAAAATATACAAAAAATTGGAAGGGTAAAAAAAAGATATTATAATTATTTATTTTATTAAGTTAATTATAATTTAATTTATTATAAATTATGATTAAACATCAAGAAGTTCACTAAGCCCCGCCCCTTTGATTTTCTTGCTATGGTCCCATAAAACGACTGTGTAAAAAAATGCGTGAAAAATGTGTGTTTGTGAGACACATGTATTTCTGGACTTGGTCTGTCTTCTGATTGGTTGATTGGCACTCAAGAATGGTCCATAATACATCAAATTCATTTTTAAAATTTTCTTAATTGAACTTTCAATGACATGCCACCTCTAGATAGAGCCTAGAAATTGCAATCGTATACAGTACAACCTGTCCAGTACAACCTGTCCTCTGGGACACCCCTAAGATAATGTAAAATGACAATTTTTAGCCATGAAATGAGGAAAAAGTATATCTTTCAAAATTACAGCCAAATCCTTATTCACAGGAAATTAGGCTTAAAAAAAAATAAATAAACAACAATTAAAACAACTTGCATTAGAGCGGCCATTACAGAAAAGCGACTTATTAGTTAAAATTTACCAATTTGTTATGTTGTGAACGTTGTAGTTAAGTTTTGACAGAAATTAATGTTAACATAAGGTTGCACCACATTATTTTGTTGGAAATTATGTGTATGTTGTAAATACGTATTTATGGTGCTACAAAATACCAAACTGTATGTTATTGCAGCTTCAATATTTTTTGCTATAAGTTATGAAATTATCTTGCGGTGGAAAAATGGGTGGGGAACAATTCAGCTGATATTAAGCAAAACTTATAGGTAAAGTAACGGTGTAAGTAAAGGTAAGCAGTATGCAAAAAATATAGGCCTACAGAAAAGTCGCTGACCTTAGCTACATAGTACTGTACAAAAGAGAGTACCCACCTTTGGATAGCTAGGTGGTACCTGTACTTCAATTTCCAATGAAGATCCTGTCCTTGAGTTAGGTGAGCTAATATCACTTGTTATTGACAAGTCTGTACCAGTTCTACTTAGTTCAGTATGTATGTTGTTACTACCAATGTCTTGATTTACCATTTTAAAAAGATCATCACTACTCTTTTTCGGAGGTATTGGTGGAAGGGGTGGTCCCCTGGTAAATGAGTCCTGTTTGTAGATATATACAGGGGTGTTGGAACTTTGTTGTGGAGCCGTTTTTATTGCTGTAAAATGAGCGGTGGACGAGGCTGGACAAGTCACCACTGAACCGTTCATCTCGCCTCCTATGTTCATCTCCAACGGTGCAGTAAATTGAGATGACTGGTCAACCGGGTCATGGACAGGTTCTACTTTCATTTCATTGTCACCATCTGACAATGTTATTTGACTTTGCTCTTTTCTTTCAATTAGAGAAGACTGTGATTCCACACTGTCCGTTATAGTAGCATCCGATGTACTTGTTGGAAGCGTTTGCTCCAGAACACTGCGGAGCTCTTCCATATCATCTAAAGTTTTTAATTCTGTCATTTCAAATGGATCCGTTGCACTGTTTTCAAAGTCTGCTAGGTTTATCAAAGGCTTCTGATTGGTCACCTTTTGAGGTGCACTGGTGGTCGCAAGAGGTGTCGGTGTTAAAATGTCCATACCAAGCATAGCTGGCCTAGGCTGTATTAACTGAGCCGGTTCCTGGATATAGCCATTAGATATCTGTGCCACACTCGACTCTGTAGCTCCATTTGCTGTGTTTGAAGCAGGTGTCACATCAGCGTTAGCATATGCAATGTTTGCTTCAGTTTCAGCAGATATTTGCTGTCTTTTTAATAGTTTAATTTGTTCTTCTTGTAAACGGCGTTCTTCTGCTTTGCGCAGAATATTGTTTTCGAGTTCAAAATCATACTGAAAAAATAATAATAATAATAAAATAGAAATGGTCATATTTCATCTGATATACTGTATAAAGATCAAATTCAAAGTTTTCATTGATTTACAGACTCCTACAAAAATTCCTAATTTCCATGACAATTTAAGCCTCTTTAACATGATTAACTATTTCTTGATTAAGATAAAATGTCAACATACTTCAAATCTTGAGAAGTCATTGTGTGACATCCTTTCCAGGTAATTTATTGGTAGTGTTATTCTTTCTGATGGCTTAAACCGATCCCCGATCTTTAACTGCACACCATCCACGTATGAGGCTGAAATCATATAAAATAAACATGTTTGTCAAAGCTCCAAGACAGAATAATAATATTAGGGTAAAGGGCTGTGGAAAAATAATGATACATGACAAAAAAAGCATATATTCTCCATTTACTCTTTTATATCCAGAATTGTCCAACATTTTCCATTAGTATTTTTGTATTATTAATTTACATTTAGTAGTCCTTTCAAAACTCTTTAAGCAATTACTCACCAACTCCAGAAATGGTTCTCTCCATGGTGCCAGCATTAAAATAAGTCATGTCTTTTTCAAAATGATGTTTACTTGTATATAAACGATGTTCTTTTATCCACCGAATCCCATTGTGTGATGACTTTAATTTAAACACTTATTACATAATCCTGTCACGATAAAATGATAAAAATTTGTACCATGAAATAAAGATATTTTGCCACTCTTTTTCAAGAATAATAAATCATAAAATACTACAATAAATACAGTATCAGCTTTTGTTACATGTACCACTTTCCTCTTTTAAACAATTAAATGCTGGTATATCAGATACACTCTGTGATAATTTAAATAATTAAAGTAATTAATTCCACTATTACTTCAAAAATATACTGTAATTTGTCATGTTACTCTTCACTATGTTCAAAAATTAAAATTTGAATCTTTATTACCCATACTGTGCACCAGTTCTATGTTGTTTTTCTACCACAAAATGCCTAAATAGGACTAAGGTTACTGTAACTTAGCACACTTATATACTGTAAGTACTAAGTATTTAGCATATCAAGTGGTTTTTTTTTATATTTATCCACACTTCTAAACCCTGTATTAAATTTTAGAGATTTTGATTTGGTCACAATTTCTCACTTCATGTGAAGGTACAGGTACAGAACTGAATGCCCAAGCAGTTCCATTTCAGAGATTTAGTAGTGGAGAAAATTGCCCAAGGTTAAATTCAATCTCTGTTCTAGAAAGACTGATCTTTTACAACCTAATTCATATGGGATGAACCAGTAAAATGTAGTATTATAAAATTATAAAATTATTTATATTAGAATTTAACTTGTACTGTATTTAAAAAAAAAAAAATTTGTATCATGTTTTGAGAACGAGAAACATTTAGAACATGTAATTTCTTTTTAAAAGGATGAAATCTGCATCAGGTACATAATGAAAACATATGATTATCCATAAAAGAAAACGAGTGACCAACCTCAAAAATTACTTTGATAGCCAAATTAGACTAGATTTAGTTCCTGTCTTAATACACTGTCTTATCAGACACTATAAAGCATGGAGAAAAGAAGCAGCTATTTCTTTCCTCAATGCTATAATAAAGTTTGCACTGTGGCCACCACATCTCACTGCAGCATGCAACTGCACACTGGGTGTTCTGAATAAATAGGTCAGGAGTACAGTAAGATGGATTGCGCCCTTTACTAATCATCACAAAAATGCTGTGTATAGGTTTAGGTTAAAAGTACAAGTTAAAAATACACCATTATGATTGAATAAAACAAGGAGCAGCAGGCCAGCCTATACACACACATTACTCTGTACATTCATCATTCAGATTACTCTTTTGTTTTATCTACAATCTAGTAGGCCGTGGTATTTAGTAGGCTATAGCATTGTAAGCCTAGCTTCTACGCCTAAAGATAGCTCAAGAAGTAGGCCAACATAAAACTAAAGCCTAGTAGGAGGGAATTGATGAGTTGGTCTAGGCCTAGGCTAGGCCTGCCAGTAACTCGATCTTCAATTGGAGAAACATGATTGAAAAAACGTGCCTAACTATTAACTCCACCATAAAACGAAACAAAGTTTTTATTCAACTTACATTGTGTAATTACAAAAAAAATTATTTTTAAATTGACTGAGTTTTAATCGAGGTCTTTATCCGCGAAAATGAGCTAGAATCTTGTGACAAACAGCAAATATCACACAGTGATGGATTTCATTTTTTCTATTTATAGATCACTTAAGTTCTGAAAATGTATTTCCTACAACATAAAGGAATCGTTCTAGACCGCATAAATCTTTCGAATCCTTCATAGTTTTCTATGGTATATAGGGGGCGCTCGTGTTTATTTATTTTTTTTCCCTAGTTTTTTCGGTAAGAAACTTTGGTGCAGGAGGAGAGAATTTGTTCAAAATGATTAACGGCTTTTGTATTTACAATAATCATTCACACACATCACATCAGTTACAATCAGGACTATGAATACTGATGAAGGCATAGGGAGCCAGTCAGGTCCCTACCTTCTACTACTATTACTAGTACTAGCCCAGAGGCTAGGCCTCCTCCTAGCCTAGCTAGTATCTATAGGCCTAGTCTAGACTAGAGAGAATGTAGGGAGGAGTAGATACTTAGAGTGGGTGCATATTCGGTGCAACCAGTTGTCACTATAACAGCTACCTGGTGCAACTAACTCGTCGTACTGACTTTGCTTTCTTTGGCGAACCTGTACCCAAATTTAGGTTTCTCGCATTCATACTTTGGCGTAATAATAAAACGAAATTTGGCATGAATCTTGAATGAAGAAAGTTCTTTTTAATTTGTACATACATAGGCTAGGCCTATGCTATAATATTTCAAAACAAAAAGGCAATGGTGATTCTTTATACTAATCGCCTTAAATTTCAGATTAATTTCACACAGATATGAGCAGCGTGATATGTGGTAGCACGAGGTCTTCAAGTGTAGCTGTGGAAGACAGTGAGGCCAGCAGTGCAAGTGAAGTATTGCATGATTGTCAAGTTCATGGCCACCAACTACTATACCTTAATTATAAAGGATTAACTAAATTCCCAGCACAACTCCTACAGGAAAATGCCTACCAGCACATCAAAGGGATCTACCTCAAAAGAAATTTATTGCAGACCCTTGTAAGTTGACATGGAGCAATATGTGTATCTTAATTTGTAAAAAAAATGATGCAATGTGATGAGGATAAAGATATGTGCAGTAGTAATGTGAGATGAGGTGATCAGTAGTAATGCAAGATAATATAATGATAAGGTGATGAAGATCAGTGGTTGCAGAGGATGATAGTAATGTGGTGCTGAGAATGATTGATGGTGCAAGATGATAATGGCATGGTAATAAGGATGATTGATGGTGAAGATGATAGTGGCATGGTGATGAGGATGAGTGGTGGTGCCAGATGATAATGGCATGGTGATGAGGATGAGTGGTGGTGCCAGATGGCAGTGGCATGATGATGAGGATGAGTGATGGTACCAGATGGTAGTGATATGGTGAGAAGGATGAGTGATGGTGCCAGATGGTAGTGGCATGGTGATGTAGATAAGTGATGGTGCAAGAAGATAGTGGCATGGTGATGAAGATGAGTGATGGTGCAAGATTATGATGGCATGGTGATGAGGATGAGTGGTGGTGCCAGATAGTAGTGACATGGTGATGAGGATGAGTGATGGTGCAAGAAGATAATAACATGGTGATGAGGATGAGTGGTGGTGCAAGATGATAGTGACATGGTCGTGAGGATGAGTGATTGTGCAAGATGATAGTGATATGGTGAGGAGGATGATTGATGGTGCAAGATGATAATGATATGTTGATGAGTATTAGTGGTGGTGCATGCAATAAGTTTTAATGGTGATGTAATATCTTGGATAGTGTTAGATGATCATTTTTGAGGTGAAGGAATGAGCAGTGGCCCAATTTCATAATTTTGTGAAAAATGGTAGCAATACAGTGGTGATGAGGCTGGTTCCAATAGATAGTGATTGCGTTAAACAGTGACAATCAATAATAGTGTGATGACATCACTACTTATTATCAATAATTGTTTTTGTTTTTTTTCCATAGCCTACAAATTTAAAGACATTAACAAACCTAAAAGAATTGTAAGTACATAGTTAATATTGTTTAAATTATTTTAAAAATAATCTAAATAAGTATTGGATTTGTATTAGTGATACTGGGGTCCCAGGTTGGAAGAAATCCCTTCAGGGATATCTGATTAAATGAGCTTTCTTAACATATTTAATTTAATTTTGCTGTTCATGGTGATTACCCATTGGCACTGACTTCCAAGAGACAATTGATAATAAAGTAGTAAAAACATTTTTTTTTTTCTGAACTAAAATCAATTTTACTATCTAAACTTTGTACAAGAGACTTAGTTTATAAAGCATCATTCCAACCTGTTGCTGCCAGATGCGAAAGAAAAAAATATTTTGGTACTCTTTCTGGAGGTGACAGTTTATTGACCAATATAAGATTTATGACATACTTTATGAACTTTGAACTTTCCAGTGCGCATAGAAACCATGTAGTAGCCACCATTACCATTAACAATATATTTTCATGTTCAGAGACTATTTACTTTTTAAAGGTATCTGCCATCAAACAAGATAATTGATCTTCCAGATGGTAAATATTCACATTAATTTTTAGTTAATTATAAGTAAATAAAATTTCAATTTTAGATTCCTGTCAATTAACATTGTGCTTTAATGTATGAATAAAAAGGCAATAGAGATTTTAAAATATTGTTTTGTGGTGTCATTGTTATTGTCGTTATATACTGGATATTTTGAAATACAACTCCGCCTCTTTCATGAGGCTTGGTTGATAATGTCATCCATTTTAAATATGTTTTTTAATAAATAAATAAAATTAATAAATTAATATCCTAGAAACTAATGAATGAAAAAAAGAGGAAAAAACAATTAACCAATTAAAAGCAGAGGGACCAACATCACAGCTTTATCGACCAGCACATCAAAGCCCCAAATGAGCACTTACTGGCATGTTACTACTTTTACCATGGCTAATGGGATGTTGATACAACATCAGTATTATGAGGACATGCACTTTGATAGTTTACTTAAACTTATTAATAATACTAACTGTCTAATGTGAGGGATCAAATTTTTTCAGATATGAGTGAGTTAACACAATTAGAATCACTAGATCTGAGTATGAACTCTCTGCAGCATATACCCAGCTGTGTATTTGGTATTAAGTCTTTGAAGTCTCTCATATTGTCGCAGAATTCTATTGCCCATCTCTCGTCAGGTTTGATGTATGCCTTTGTGGATAAAGACACTTGCCTTCCTAAGGGTCCTTTTAGCAAAGTCTACAGGAAGCATATATATCTAAGTTGAATAGAAGAAACCCCATTCTGGTCCGTGAAGAAGATGGCTGACAACTAACTGAAATAACATATTAAATAAAACTTTTGAAAAAGTTAAAAAAAAAAAAATTAAGCAATGTTTAACTTATATTTTTGAACTTCTGTAGAGGTTGATTATTTAAAATTAATGCTACCATTAAGCTTGGGGAATAGTTTTAATTTGAGATCACTGTAAGTGATTGTGCTTTTGAGCAGTTGTTTACTGTGCATGGGCGTACCCTAACCTTTATTTTGCCAAGACTCTTTAATTTAATGACTTTAGATGGGACATTAAACTGTAGATCCTATATTGGTAATGACTTCTGCACTTCGTTTTTGAATAAGAATAATTATTATAAATAATTATTTTAACTTATGTTGTGCACATATCCACAAAAACTGTTTAAATTACAATACTACTCAGTTATTAAAGGAATTGGCAATTGTGGCAAAGACAAGCCAAACCAGTCACTCATCACAAATATTGATTTTATTCATTAATACAGGGTTAAACAGTAAAATGAGAGCTATAAAATGGTAAAAGAATCATTAAAATACAACATTCGTTATGAAGTTACCGGAGTTTAAACATACAGCTGTTTAAAGAACAATATTTGAGAAATCAGCCTTCAAAATTTATGATTTTGGGCATTTCTCAGGCAGAAACTATCACCAAATCAATAAAAATTTTTGTTTTAACATTGAAAATGAGGAAGATAGCAGCATAGCATGATGTATAGATATATAAAGGTTAGTTTAGTGCAATAAAATAGATTTAAAAAATGCTGACATTCCATCATGTTTTGGCCATTATCTCTGAAACAGGATTTGGGACAAGTGACTGGTATGGCTTGTTTTTGACACAATTGTGTAATAAGACAATCCTATCAAGCAATGTTAGAATAGGTCCATTTAATCTGCAGCATTCTTCCACTACCTTATTACAACTGAAATATTCACACAGAAATTGGAAAAATGAGAGCTTTGATGACACTTGTCTTGAATCATAATCTGCTGACTTCATTGCCTTCTGAAATACAACATTGTTCGTCTCTTGAAACTTTAAATCTTGACAAGAATTTTCTGAAAGTTCTTCCAAGACAGATAACCTTGCTTCATCGTCTAGAAGAACTATCAGTGACAGGCAACAAACTGGTTTACCTACCAATGGGTAAGTGCTATCTAACTCACACCACATCCCATTGTTGCCACTTCACTATCATCTTGCACAACCACTTGTCCTCATCACCACATCACTATCATCTTAAATTGCCACAAGTATTCTGGTCACCAATGAAGGTGTCACTCTTTATAAGGTTTAGGATTAGACCTAATTTTCATTCACATTTATACATAATTATTTGTCACTTCTATTGGTGCTGCCAACGAAAACTATCTTGAAGCAGTAACTATTTAGGCTGAACTATTTTATCCTTAAATTACAAGCAAGATTTCAGAGAGGGTTTGTATGGATGTTCTCAAAATTTTTAAATGTTTTATTTCAATGAATTATAATGTATGATTCTGGTATATTTCTTCAAAGATCTTGGATATTGCCCAAGCCTACAAAAAGTTTATGCTGATAACAACCCGTATTTAAAAGCCATTCCCTTTTCTCTCTGGTCCAAGACAGTTGGAACCTACAGGTAATTTTTATTCTTGAATTATAATAACAACTATGACAACTTTCAAAGTAATTTGTTCTTATGCAAGAAAAACATAGTACAAAAGTTATAGTGAGTACAGTAAACTGCTTTGCCTCATTGCACAGTTGCTAAAGCAACCAAATGGTAAAATGTAAGGTCTTGTGTTCGAATCTCCATTGGGACAATTGTTTTCTTCTCAATAAACTATTTATCCTTTCAGTTGCGGAACTGAAACCATTTGTGATTCAGGACTTTATGCAGAGTTCAAAGAGGCCAACATGTCTGCATACATTCCTCATGAAATTCAAAGTATCAGATCAAAAAACTCGTCACCAGTTTCTACTCTTTTGGAAATTTCTTACAGATATGTTAATAAACAGCAAGGTACAGTATATAATATATTTTGTTGTATAATACAAAATCAAACCATTTTATTGTTTTTTTTTTTTATTTGACTAGTAAGTAAGTCCAGTTGAAAAGATTTGTTTTGTTATATTATATTGACTAGAAGATGAAATTTGGATAATAGATACAGAAAAAAAAACTAGAATTGATGTACTGGAGTAGGGTACCACAAGTATGCATTGCACTTTGGCCTTGGGTGAGTCATGATCACCAGTGTGTTTAGCATTGAAATGCCCTTTTTGGTCAAGTTTGATTGCAGGTGCACTGGAACCCACCATCAATTCAGATTCACAGCACTATTTTGAGTTTATGAAATGGAAGAAAAAGGCATGTAATTTGATGTTAAAAAAACAATCTAACGCTTTCAAATTATATCTGCTGGTATGTCAGACCATGGAGCTAGTTTGACTGTGTTCTGCATCACAGCATATGCAGAATGTTTACATCTTCAACCAACTGATGGTTGATTGCTGGATCAAAACGTATATATTGTGAATTTCGTACTACTTTAATTACCATGTTTTTATTAAAAGTTTTGTATTATGACTACAGTATGTACTGTATTTATAATTTGTTTTATTAAAATCTTTTCGCAGGAATTTTAAAGATTGAAAGTCTTCCGAGGAGTGTTAGAGAACAAGCAGTAACTGCAACGGCTCATTGTGAATTCCATGGCTGCAGCAGGCAACTGTTTACAGGTTGCTACCCCCACCTATTGAAACACCCTATAACTACACTTCAGCAACCCAACTCAACTACCTTTATTGGACTATGCTGTTCTTTGAAGTGCCTTGATCTTTTCAGCCGGTTTCCGCTTCCCTTGTGACATACATTATGACTGTCTTATTACAACAATTAGGATGCTGTTTGTGGGTTTACAGGGGAAGATTTAGAGAGGGGCCATTCCCGCGATTTTGCTACTGACGTCTTTAATTTTTTTACAGAAAAAGTACAAAATGTCATACAAATATTAAATGTTACAATATTTCGTAGCAACATATATTGAACCACAAATCATACCATTATTGGATACTTATTTAACTGTATAATTATATTACATCTAGGGCTACAGGTATATGAAATGGTTTCCTCTGATTCAAACTTTTTGGATCCAACCCCGGTGTTAGAAATTCTCAAAAGAAAGTAAATTCATGTGTATACAGTACCCAGGTAATGGCAAATCCTGGACTACAAATATATGAAAAGTTTTTAGAATCTAAATTTTTTTTCCTTGTTATTCTATGCCAAAATATTTAGCAGTTGTGACTGCCAGAATCATGGGACAAGCACTTTTTCATGTTGGCACTTTGTGTCAGTAGTTATAAGTAAATCTGTGCCGAGCCACTAGGACCCATAGGGCTGGAGCTCATCCCCAGTTTCAAGTAGCATGAAGCGGATGAGAGTGTGATGCTCCCCCTGGGTGGGATGCTGGTCCACTGTAGCGTACGCCAAGCAGTTTGCTGGTACCCATTGATACAGGTGGGTAGACTGAAGCAATGTAGATGCCTTGCTCAAGGACACAAGCGAAATGCACAGTGAAGAATTGAAACTCTGACCACAAGGTTGGAAAACCAAACCATTTCCACTGAACCAAACCGCCTCCACCATAAGCATGACCTGTTGTTAATGCCATAGATTACTACAGTATACAATATACAATAATTATATTCAGTATAATTTTATTATATACAGTGCTTTTTATGATTTAATTTTTTTTTTACCATATTTATAGAGGGTGACCTATCCAGCTTATACTGAAGATCAGCTAATATTCAGGGGCCCTTTTAAAACATGTAATAATTTGATGCTTTATTAAAAATTCATGTGCTGTTATCAATGGATTTGAACCCAGAACCCTAGTGGGAGAGGAAGGCAAGCTGCTCTTGGGCTCAATCCTAACTTGTCAGGATTTTCGCAGTGTCTCTAATAAATCTAGTTCAGGTCAAGATCCAGTAGGGGGACATGGGTGGGGGGGGCACATTCTCCCGTTTTGGCACTAAATTTTAAAATTTCAATGCATGTCAATGTTATTTGCTACTCGCTATATTCTGAAAATGGTTCCGCCCTTGATCAAGTTACAGTATTGAAGGGTCCATGTTCCCTTTTATGGGTGAATCCGCAAGGTTGTGAAAGGTGCAGCTCAAATATGTGTGTACATTTTTGTACATTTAGTATTTGTATGACATTTCATTAGTTTATTATAATTATGAATATTTGATAAATGTATAACTAATGAAGTACTGTGCAATAATAATAAATATTTTGTTATATGTTTTAATCTGTTTAACTTGTTAACATTAATTTGTGTTAGTACTATGCGTATTAAAATGTTAAATCATCATTATTATCGTATATGCCCTGGGTATCATCATCATCGTCATTAACGTATAAGCCTTGGGTATCAAAGTTTTTCTGTGTATAAGAATGGCAGTTACAAACTTATGTTCCCAAACAGGGCCGGCGGAACGTTTTTCAAAGTGGGGGGGGGCCACTTATAAGATGAATGG